CATATTTAGAAAAAGCCAAACATAAAGAGAGGGAGGCTTTACACCTTTTTCATATATCTTATCTATTTTAATCCAAATGCTGTTTAATAAAGTGTGTAGGTTACGATTGTATGTTTCTCTCCATTAACAACTACGACTCGGTTCCTCTCATAATCGATACAAACACCCCGAAGGTAATTATGATAGTAAATGCCACCAGTGTATTCTTTTACTAGCAAGTGGTTTGCATTGATTGCTGCAACCGTCTCTGCTATTATAAGTCCGCTGGAATCTCGAGAGCGAGCAGTGATAAATATGTTATCACAGGTGTCTATCGCAATACCGCGGTAACACCATGTCTTATTTCTTATGTTGATTGTGACGGTAGTAAGGTATTTCCATTCTGGGTCAAATACTTTTATTCCTTCTTTATCTGTTACGTATTTGTTGTCTTGTGAATTACAAGCAATAAACCATGGGTCAATAAGGGAGTCTTGGCCTCGCTGGCCGAGGTAGGTACCATCCATATCAAACTCGAGAATGCAGTTATAATAACTATCTGCAATGAAAACCCTATTGCTCTTTCTATTCAAGGTTATGCCAGTAGGAGTGTGGAAATCCTTATAAGTAGAGGAAAAATGACTCAACTTCTCAGATTCGAGCTTAAAAACATTTCCCCTTCCATTTTTATCGTGTTGGCCAGTGATCACAAAGCTACCTTCCGTATCTGACAAAGCAGCAATACTGAATGGTCGAAATGGCAAATCAGGACTCTTGTCCTCATAAAGCACTAAATACTCGTTTGTAGCGGAGAGGCACACGATGCGTCCGTTGTATGTGTCGGTAATAACATATTTGTCGTCATGCAGTATCACGTCGTGTGGCCGGTTCAGAGAACATGCACCATAAATCTTCACCGGATTAAGAGTAGCCGTCTTCGGAGGTGCTGTAACATGAAAAGGGCAGATAAAAAGATTCGATTTAATATGTGAAGTAATTGGATTTCCGTTCAGAAATACATCAACAAACATTTTGTCGTTCTGTGACCAGAGATCTAGATTCAAGACGGCGCAAGAGTTACTTTTTAAATGCTTTCTCATATTAAAATAACATGCATATACGTAATGCAGTATACCGATGACCTATACTCTAATTTTAGATCACAGTAGAGGTACACATGTATGATTGAACAAGAAACCATACAGACCTAATTAATTCATAGAATTTGTATAATATTTTATTTTCATCTCGATGATAGATTGTGCAGCCCGTTGAAGATTACTAAAGAAATAAAAGAATATGAAGAAGCAGAATAATAGGAAGAAGAGGAAGGATAAGACGAAGACGAAGACGAAAATGAAGACGAAGAAGGAAGAAGAGGAGAAAACTAAATATAAGCAGAAGAAGTAGAAGAAGAAGTTGTTGAGGATGATGAAGACGATCACGAAGATGATGAGCAATTATATCCTTAATTCTTACTATCAAGTATATGAGAAAAAATAATGGGTATTTTGTCGTGATATGGTTGTCCGGCAAATCCAAAGCTCAGGTTTCAAATCCTAAACAGATATTATAGTCAATATTTAACAATCTCTACCCTGGTGAAAATGGGTATTCGGCAATTGCTGGGTTAATAATGAAAATATTATACGAAGATGACAATTCCAAGAGGTGAATGATGTAGGCAAATCTTGAAATTCGTGATAATTATTCGATATTTTGTTCGGCTACATGCGTATAGGTCTCAGCTGAACGCACACTGATGCTTTCCTATTACTACTACTACTATTCCTACTAACTGCTACTACTACTTCTCCTCCAACTACTGTTACTACTACTACTACTACTACTACTACTACTACTACATGTACTAGTAATAATATTACAACTACTACCACTTCCACTACTACTACGACTACGACCTCTAAATAAATCAATACTAGTATTGGTAGTAGCAGCAGCAGTGATAGCATTATTGTCATCATGCATCCTGGTACTACAAAATACATTTTAATAGAAACCCCCTCACGTCCATTCTGTCTCTCTGTCTCTCTCTCACGTTCTCTTTACATATCATATGGTTATATCCAACACATGAAGCACATGTTTGGCATACGATGCTGATGGGAGGGGATAGATAGAGTGGGTGGGGGAGGGGGTCTGGAAAGAAGAAGGATCAAATAATTGATCAAGAAATTTCCCCATATTTTCCACCTCTCGGACTTGTGATCTTTGTACAATGTTTTTATTATTTACGGTCATGACTGTAGGTTTCTTCGGTCTCGTTGGCTAGCCAGAATTATTTGAAAGGGGTGACCAAACATGCTTATTAATGTTTGCCTCATCCTGAGCAGCCTTTTCAACTGACGGAAATAAAGTACAATTCAGCCCTCTGTAGCAAGAATCGTAACTATATATGACTTTGTACATGAATCCAATTTCAAAGCATATATCTTTATCATTGCATTTCGTTCTAGCTCAGTCAGTAGTTTTAAACAAGGCGACGCTAAATCAATTCCAAATTGCTCTAGCATAGGCCTTACGAAGAATTCAGTCGAGACACAGTAAACGACTAATAAGTGGTGGGAACGACTAACTAAAAAATACATTCAAGCATGTTCCCTTCTAGGCTCCGTAAGGAAGCCATATTTTCCCTTAGCGCTACACGATTCGGGAAAATATAACCACTTGGGAGAATATAGCTCCCTTCAGTGGTCCAAATAATGTAATATTAAGCCCCCTGCCAGTCAATATCTGTATACTATTTGATTGCGCTATAATAACAACACGATCAACGTAGATTTAAGACCTAAGAAGCACATACATATTACCCGACCCTAATTCGTTACAGGAGCCCCAAAATCGGTAAACGGCGATTTTGACAACACTTTTTAAAGACCCTTGTGCTCAGTCACCCGTGGCAGAAATATTATGAATATGGTATCATTTGACAGAAAACAAGTTACCCTTCATCATCATGAGGTAGATTTCAAACTAGGAATAAACAAATGTCAAAGTCTCCCTTAAAATTTAAGACAAATCTGTGCTATCAAAGTGCTCGGTTTATTGTCTGTAGATGAGATGTTGAACATCTTCATTAATTGCAATTTATTCCTCATGTATAAATATGGTTTACATGAAGAATGAATACGATGAAAAGGAGAGGGTTAATGTATAGCTTGTCCTACATTCTGCAATGGGTCTTAAAATTAAGGGGTATTTTGCTGTTTGTTGTTTGAAAGAGTACCGATGGTGTAATCGCCTTTTGTCGGTGTGAACATCGATATACACCGATCTCTCTCTTTTTCTCTAATAAGCTTTGATTAAATCTTGTTTCCATTTTCTTCTGGGATTGTTCCTTCCTTATTTAAGACTTCACATGTCATCGGGGTCATGTTGCGTCTTTCAATATGGCGACCCTGTTACGCCATTTGTCAACTAAAGCAACAATTTAAGGTCTATAATCGCGATCTTATCGTCAGTACATCACTAGCCCTCTATCATCAGAAGAGTCTCCTACGCAGTTCCTGAAAGCACGTGTCCCTTGTTAGGACAAGCCATCAAGATGATGGCTGGCACTTTGACCTGCGTACTCCAACTCAACGCTGAACGCCTTACCCGCTCAAAGCTCAAAGCGGCATTTGCCACAGTATGGCACCGTGGCCTAAACCTCAAGACTCTGCAGACCATTTCAGATGTAAGAATTGTGAATTTCATTATGTTGCTTGTACAAGACCGGTCATCTGTTCTTGAAAATCAAACGGCCAATGCAGTAGGAAAAGGAGACTCCGCAATGGTGTGCACCAAGGTTTTGTCCTCGCTCCGATATTTTTTCCTATGCAGACGACACCGCACTTGGGTTCAACAACCACTCCTTCGAGGCAATCGAAACATCGCTGGAGAAGGACCTGAAGATGCTAGCCGAGTTCTCCAACAGATGAGTATCTCGAAGTTGAAAGTTTAACATTATCTTTCTAGCCTACTGGCTTTATAAATTACGAGATTTAAGTGACATGTGTGATGCCTTATGAATGAAGAACTGAGAGTATATGTGTATGGGTAAAAGTGCACAAGTTTGTGTTTATGTAATGTACTTGAATAATGCATCGGGCGTATGGCCATTTACGTTTAGTTATTATTTAACTTTCAAAGTAAAGAAGAATGATATGAAATTATAAGGTGCATAATATGGAGTTGTGTAGCTCAGTTTGTTTATTATGAGTGTGCATGCACGCTCGCTACAAAAGGGAGACAAAATTACTGCCAGCACTAGAAACATTGATGCAGTCCATGATTTGATTTGATATGTCAAGGTCGTGATTATGAAGGTACATGTAGGCCGGTAGACTTCTACATTAATCACAACTTATTCAGACCCTATTTTGGTTAAAATATATGATACCAATTCCAAATTGTATGACCAAAAAGGAAGGAAGAGAAATTAAGCCATGGATAACTAAAGGGTTACTTGAATTATCCCCTTTAATAAATATTAAATAATTCCCTTGAATAACCAAAAAATAATCAGAAAGAAAATCTGTCTCTTTTAAAAATCAGACCATGGAAAGGCTCTGTACAACGGACATGACAATTGATTAAACGATAGGAAGAAATGGGTAAAGAGGGCGCTAAAATCATATATATATATATATATATATATATATATATATATATATATATATATACGTATATATGTATATATATATATATATATATATATATATATATATGTAGATATATATATATATATAATTCTTTTTTTCTTTCCAAGGGAATGATGTAGACATATTAACTTTTGTTTATTATTAATCAGATTATTAAAACAACCCCTTTTCTGATTCGACTTTCGATTTGGTCAAGCGTAGGATACTACTTATCAAAAGAAGTATGCCACCCCACATTCAAATAAGTTCAGCCATTTCATGGAATAAATTTCGAAAGGTACACGCGTTGTGTAATTACTTAAAAGCGTTGCAGTAAACATTTAAACCGAAACTGGATTTGAAGAAAACTTACCAGCAATTGTTGTTGTTTTCACCATTGGAATTCTTTCCCCGGGATCAGTTGTTGTTGCACTATTACTACCTAGGTAAAATGTCATGTGAGATAATAATAGCAGGATCAACACTAATCAAACGCTAAGGAATGAAAATAGAATAATAATAATAATAATACCAACAATTGTACTGTGATCTACTATCAGCCTGAAGGTATTATTGCGAACTCTTAACTTTTCCGCGCTGATGAGCCTCGCCCTCCTTGCTGACCTTTACACTTTTGATAATTAGAATAAAGATTTGTAATATCTCTAAAAATCAGTCTGAAAAAATTGGTCTTTAAAGAAACTGCTCAGAGGTCGACACTATCTGGAGAAGTTTATCCATTAACAGAATGAAAGAGTATTAAAAAAAAAAATCCTGTAGACTGCTTTAATAGAAGATTGCTAAGTGAGCATTCTACTTGATCTTTAAGGTAAGTACTATTAGCTATTCAATGTTATTTGAATAAATGCATTTAGGTATTGGATGAAACAATACGTTTGTAATTTCTTAAAAGCGTTGCAGTAGACATTTAAAAAGAAACTGGATTTGAATAAAACTTACCAGCAATCGTTGCTTTTGAAATGTTTTCCTCGGGATCATTTGTCGCTGCACTTTTGCTACCTAAGAGAAATTTTATTAAAAGTAAGACGGAAACAACTTTATTATCTGTAAATCACTATCTCATCTCAGAGGTATTTTCTTATAAAATTGCGAACCCTTTACATTTCCCAGGGCAATAGTTCTCTCCCTCGTTGCTGACCTATTCACTATGGAGAAGTTTATCTACAAAAGAACAAAACAATAACAAGAAATAATTATTTAGAAGTCTACGAGAGCATTCAACTTGATATTTTGGTGAGTACCTTTAGCTAATTCATGTTATCAGAATTGATTTATCAACTGGCTTCCTTACAAGAAAACAGTTCTAATGATTATGTCAAACTATAAGTACCGCAAAATATATGAGGAAACTAATTCCTCGATTTCATTTCACATGATATATCGCGTTCCGCAAGGTCAATAGCAATCCCTCAGAAATACCATCATTGATAAAGATAAACCGATAAAAAAAACCTATTCCAACGCTGCACTTTCTCTAATTACAATGGTGTAATGTATCACATTCAATAAATATATAAGAGAGGTACACGTACTAAACGTGTATTTAGCATGTGTAGTCTATATTTTATATTGATGGTATTATTCAAGTTAAAAATTACTGCAGGATTAAATATTTCCAGATAATTTATCACAGACACGATAACGCACTTTCACACTTTCATTTTCATTTCCAGTGCTATTACCTGTTTCCTTGTTACCAGTGGTGATCCTGCGAAAAGGATGGGGATGTTTCCGACAGAAGAGAGCAAATAAACCCACAGCTCCAATTACAAGGACAATAATTATCGGCACAACTGTGAATAATACATGGCAGAAAATACAATTAGTGTGGAATCGATTTCATAAATATTCCATTTTCTTGTGACAGAACATGAAAAAGGATGTTGCGTTTAAAGTATTAGAATCAATATTGTTTATGAAATGTTATGTACTTTTAAATCTTATTGGAAGATATTGTCAGAAGCACACGATGAGTTTTCCTTGAATGGTTTACTCGTAGTATTTCGTAGATTTTAAAAATAAGAAGGAAAAATAGTATCCATGTATAACTTATTGTCAATCAAACACAACTTGTAATGTAGTTTAGTATGTAGTTTTAGCTGAAAGGATTCTCTTTATCTTTCTATGACACATAATGCACAGTTTTCAGAATGTACTCGACATAATTGTTTCCATTTTTGAGTAAGGATATTTACAATCATTTAACATCAAATTGTACATAAATATATTATTTTAATGACCCCTACTGTATCCAAATGTAATAGAAGATGCATTTTATTATGAGTGCAAATATTTGTTATGGCATTATCGATTTCTGTGGTTCTGTTTCCAGAACTTAATTCCGTGGTTCCGGGAGTTATTTCCATGGTTACCGCAGTTGTTGAAGATGAAGCGGGTAATCCTCCAATGACCGGTAAGTTTACGAATATCGTCGCAGCTTTCTGGTTTTTTGATCCAGGAATGTCTGACGCAACGCAAATGTATGGCATTTTACTGGCTGAAGCTTTAATGGATATTGATTTGTTTTTTGTCCCATCATCATTTGTCAGTTCAGTACTTCCGATGTCCGTCATCTTTTGAGAGCCATGTAGAAAGAACAAGTCTAGGTCCGGATAGAAATTAGTAGCCGAGCAAGTGATATTAATGGATTCATTTGTGGAAATACTGCAAACCTGTGTAGAATCGTTATCACATTGTTTGATGATTGGGTAGGGTTCTTCTGGGGTAGCTGCAAAAAAGCATAATGTCGTTTAAAATATTGGGTATCTTCTTAATTCTGACATTTTTCCGAGCTGAAGTTAATATATTTTAATGTTAAATGCTGTATTAATAAGTACAACGCTAGTACTGTAACCACCTTTCTCTGTTTCGATACTCAGGAATACTGAACCAACACAAATTTAAGAATAATACAACGACTGATGAAAAAGAGCATCGCATCAAAGACACGAGTATCATACTATTCATCTACGTGTGTTTAAATGATATATCAATACTTTCTTTTTCGGTTTAAAGGGGTCATTTCTAAAGAATAAACGTTTGTCATTGACGTTTGCAGTGGAAATTGAATGAATTTATTACGTTTGTTTTCAAGTATACTACTCCTACTAATTCCACTTATACTAGTACTACTTCTTCTACTACTACTACTACTACTACTACTACTACTACTACTACTACTACTATAATTACTGCTTCTACTCCTAATAGTAAACAAATATACCATGCACTGAGAGGCTTAAGTTGAAATTATGGATCGAGGTGGCAAGAATAGCACTATTTTCTGAGGGGCGTAGTCCCGAAGAAAATAGTAGTTTTTCTGTCGCCGAGGAATCCATAATTTCACTAGGGGCTTTAAATAGTGCATGATGTATTTGTTTTATATTTTTCAAACCAACCCCAAAATAATAGTGATAATAATAATATTTACTGTCACTGAAGTAGTGAAGAGTGTAGCGCAGACGCGCGACCACGACCGATAGCACATTGATCTTGATCGATCGTATATAAATGACGGCATCCTTGATATAGTGCTATGGTATAGTACACTATACCATGAATGACGTCACGGTTACATCATAGCAATGTTATGTTTGGTCACGTGATGCTATGTTGACCAATCACTGAATAGGATTTCATTGATCAAAAATATAATAATGAATGTTTGTAAAGTGCCAGATCAATTTCGCAAATAACTCAAGGTGCAATTAAGGTTGAACAAGGACAGTTCAAATATACATATAACATATCTTCACTACTTATATTTGCCCTATTTGACACTCCCCCCCCCCCCTCCTTTTTTATTAGGGGGGGGGGGTTAACCGATAATAAAATATAATTATAACTACATATATATATTGCACATACATCCATTCCAGGGGATATTTTTTTTAGCCCAGTTGCCCGAAGCAGCTGAAAGCATTCAAAGAAAAAAAAATCAGGTTTCCATTTACTACGCATGGGAGAAGAGTGATACATGTACATGCCGTACCAAAGGGCATTAATACCTGGTTGATATTTGAACAGCGAACTTTGTGACGAACAATCCATAGAAGTTTCCACTAGACAACAATAACTCCAGACAATTGAACACGATTTGTATTTTGCTCAAATTCACTATTGCGTGCTCACTGGGCAATGGAAATAGAATGTTGGGATGGTTAGGGGTATGATCTTCATCATATTCGGTGTATTTTTATAATCGTAGTTAATAATATAAAATCAAAATGCAATTCGCTTTTATAATACTTATTTTTAAAAATTGGTTACGAAAATAAAGCGCCCTCCGCAGAAAAAAGACCAAAATAAGATATGTTTTCAATTTAAGAACGAATGGGGAAAAGTCATGAACTGTGTCGGGTTTCGTGAATATACTCACAAAATATCCTGATGTCCGTAAAGTTGTGTATCAGTCCCTTCTTGTAGCTTGATACTCTACAGATATATCGTCCTTGTTCTGCTATACTGACTCTCTTGATGACCAAAGAGCGATTTTCATTCATCTCCATGAGCTGACATGGCCTTACACCTTCACATAATCCTGTCACATCATCGGTTGGAATCCATGAGACAAGGTTTGGTGCTGATCTTGGGTCATCTCCTTTCTTCCAGTAGACAGCCAAAGGTGTCCCACGAAATCGACATGTCAGGACAACGCTGTCTCCCTTTTGTACCGTTTTGTGTAAATCAGTGTACACGACACCATCTGGTACATCGCACAAAATACCTGTATCAAGACAAAAATGGTTCCCAAAGATATTAGACCTCAAAAAACTAATTATATTATATGATGAATTGAATGATGAAAATTAGACAGATGAATCTCATCGTAACTAAAACCTCGGCTAGACGTGAAACGGTAAACCGCTTCACATCTTAAGTTTGAAATTATTAATCCAAAGTCGATATATTTTCTTGAAAGCTGTTAAAACTATGATATTGAGCCATTATCAATGACTCGTGTTATACTCTTCATGTTGTATATGTGTACATGTTTACTCATTTAACTGCTAACGTCCATGATCTGGCATCATTAACTTTAGAGACTAGTGTCTTACAATATTGCCATGTGTTACCATTTCCATTGTTTAGTCAGAAAGGCAGTGTCATTCGACCTTTTACCGGTCTTTTTCTATACTATACAATAGGTTCTACTGTATCGAAAAACATAGCAAATGTAAATTAATCAAATGTAAAATATCATATTACATAGACGCATATGAATATGTTCGTTTGAAAATATGATATAGAAAGCGATGAATCGTAGATGAATATGTAGTAGTGGTGAAGTCCATGAGAGTCAGATAGAATAACGCTTTTCAAAGGAGGGAACAAGATCTTTTCATGAAGTCCCTCCATCGGTGTGAGCATGTTAATTGGGAGAGATCTGTGGATATACTGGGTCATCCTGATTTTAAAACTATTGGTATAAGAACCACGTATACAGGCTAATGCTTCTGCTTTCATTATAAAAAGCGAAGGGGGAAGTTTACATTGGTAAAAGTATAAGAATGATGTAATTAAACCAAATAGTTACGAACAGGCGCGTACACAGGGGGGGAGGGGGTGGGTGGTTAAACCCCCCCCCCCCCCTTTGATATTTTTATGTATGTAAACCCATCCCCCCTCCATAACCCCCCTAAAACCCCTCCCCTTTAGATTTTTTTTTTTTTTTTTTAATTATTAAAAAAAAAAAAAAAAAAAATTTCGAACCCCCCCCCCCCGCTTATTCAGCGGTCGGCTGAGGCGTTGCGATTTTGGGGGGACCGACAAAAAATGTCCTCTTACCCCCCCCCCCCCCCCCCATATGTAATAGTGGTGAAGTCCATGAGAGTCAGATAGAATAACGCTTTTCAAAGGAGGGAACAGGATCTGTTCATGAAGTCACTCCATCGGTTTGAGCATGTTAATTGGGAGAGATTATTGTCACAGGCCCTTGGTGGACCTCTCTATGTTTAGAAGATCTGTGGATATACTTGGTCATCCTGATTATAAAACTTTTGGTACAAAAAAACACGGATACAGGCTAATGCTTCTGCTTTCAGTTTAAAAAGCGAAGGGGGAAGTTTACATTGGTAAAAGTATGAGAATGATGTAATTAAACCAAATAGTTACCAAAGCGAGTAACTTCTTGGTGAATCTTATCTGTCTAGACTCAAATCAAATAATATGCTGTTACGATTGCGTAGAGTCAAGATTAAAGTTACCACACTTTCTCAACAGGCAAGCAGTGATATTGTTCTAAGACAAACGAACAGTAAAGGTAGCTATCTCTTTAACAACTTCCGGCTGAACTGTACAATTTTTGTTTTCCATTTATGCTCAGTTAACATTACTTAAGACGATATGCCCAAATACTGCAGATTTCACACGGCGAATTCAAACAATAGGCTACAGACATTAAGATTTTACCTACGTGAAAATATAATAATATTATTTAAATAACATCTTTTCAACACATATTAGCCTGTTAAGCTTGCAAATAATTAAACAAAAAAAGATAAAATGTAAGATTAATTTTACATGTACGGTGGTTTTAATTTAAAACAAAAGGAAATTTTCGAAACACATACAAATGCTGGTATTTAACATGGCTCCGTTTACATTTTAAGAGGAAAATAAATAAACTAAACAAATAACAAGCACAACTTAAATGTTTAATAGTCAACTGATAAAAAATCGGATGACTAATCAAAGGAGAATGAAATTTAATTTGAAGAGCGTGTATTGGATTTAAAATCCTTTGTTTGCCGTGAAATGCATATGATCAAGACATGGTCGACCC